TGTGTGTGTGTGTGTGTGTGTGTGTGTGTGTGTGTGTGTGTGTGTGGTGATTTGAGGTCGTCAGAGAGTGACGACGATCACATATGTTCCACGTATATGTTTACCCATCGTTTTAATGCAAGTCGTTTAATGGGAAGAAAAACCTTGAGCGTGTTAATCCTACACAGACTGCCTTCCCGCCTCACGACATAGATCTATTGCAGTCGAGGTGTGCCCTCTCAGGTTCTCGGGTAGGATCGGAAGCCTGCCTCTTAAATAATCTAAATTGTGTCGATGGGGACGTAAAAACACGGACATATTTAAATTGACTCTCCCCGAAGATATACCGTAAAAGACCAAAATTTTGCTTCTTTTGAAAGGGGGGGGGGGTGTTCGTCGAAAGACAGAAGAACTTAGGTCGTTACATAATGTTTATACACAGTATTCTTTTTTTTTTTTTACCCAGCAAAAGTAATGCTTGTGAAATTACATCAAAGCAATTGATCTATGAATGCGCATTGAGTATAAACAAGAATTCACCGGTAGGCAAGATTTCCGTCTCCTGAACATTACTCCAGTAGAGCCTAGAACACTTTATCATGTTCTCGTCCTCAAGGGAAACATACAGTGCAAGCACTCAAACACTAACGAACTGACGAGATCTTTTGCTGTCTTTAGATGGGTACCCATACCCACCTGGATGAAGTGCGGAAAATTCCAAAGGACACAACGTCGGGTCCTTGACGGGTTCGAACCTACGACCTTCTGGTTGCGAACCCAAACTAACCTCTAGACATCCGACGCCACCAAAACTCTGCCAAATTACAATTTGCCTAACGACTTTGCTGACCACAGAATAAAGGACTGGTTCCTTGCACTGTCTTTTTGTCTGAATAGGCCACAGTGATCGTTAACTCGTGTACTTAAGCTGAATAAGACAATTCAGGGCAGGGATGAATCGTTGATGACTTGATTTCAGATCGGTAACCTTTACCCGTACTACTTTTATTAAGTACAAACCATTGATTTTCGGACTACTTTAAGTTTCCATCTTGCTTTGTTGGCAAGAACTAAAATGTGTATTACATGTTGTTCAACTTGCACGCTAATAATAAGTAAATAAGCACTTTTTTCTCGTTTATAAATCCACAGGCCAATCCTGATGTTTTCTATGTGTATGAGCCGATTCTGTACACCTGGGACCATTATATGCCTGGACACACTAATCCATCCGTGTAAGTGTTGTGATGAACAGACTATCAGAACCTGTTAAGTTGTGGGGGTATGTTAAAGACAAAGTGTATGTTCCACCACTTCTTGCAAATATCAATAACATGTAAGATCGAATAACAGCTACAATCCACACGGTGGACTCAGACACCTTTGGGAGACATTCTCATATCGGCTTGATGTTGTCCGTGCTGCCGGTGGTGGCCACATTGAACACTTGTAAAACATGACATAAAAACTTGAAGGTGTGTACAACACATGTGTCCAAGCTAGAGTTTTCCATTAGTTTTTTTGTTTTTTAATATCGTGATATTATATGACTTTGGTGCATTCTTTTTTAATCACCCTGTATTATTGCTGTCGTTAAAGGTTGTGCTTCACGACTATCTCCCCTTTCCACACTTTCTTCCAGTCCCCCATCCCATCCGTATTCCTTTTTCCTTTAATGACGTCAACTCCTCACTTCTCCATCCACCCCTTTGCCGCCCCAACCCTTTTCTTTTCTTTCTCCAGAGTCAATTGTTAGTCATTTCAAAAGAAATATCGTTTCTACAACGATTAGACAATGAATATCATTCATAAACTTGCAAAGGAAAGTCTTCTGTGTAGCTCCTGTAGTATTAGTAGTATTAATTGCATGGTATCCTCATCAATGTTTTTTGTTTTTCTCTTTGCAGACGAAGAATAAAGGCAAGCTTCTCTAAAACCAGATCCTACATTCCTGAGCCTCTTGAGTTTCTTGACTACATGTATAGGTGCAATCTGACAGCCGAAAATGTGGGTTTCCTCACAAATGTGAAAAATAGTCACGCATTTGCCTCAGAGAAATGCTCTGGAAATTCTACTTTGTACAATGCTATACACGAAGCTAATGTAGGCCCTTGCAGTGAACTGGTGCTTAAGAGGTAAGGTCCTATGAAGAATTTTATGTTTTCAAAACCTGTTTTATACAGTGTTATTGCAAAATGTTTTTTAATAGAATTGCAGGCAGGATTGGAGCAACCCACCCCTTGAATGATCTAAAAGACCTTTTACTATTAATCAAGAAAGCAAGAGCGAAAATGTTAATAATATAATTGGGACTAAATAGTATTTCTGACTTCTACTTATGCATTTTACTATGCTTTGTGTCAACGACCGTATCGATTCTGCATGAGGCAGGACTCTTTCATGTTGCGAACATCTACAACAGAACCAGATCAAATGGGTGGAGGACCGTGAAAACCCCCTAAACCTCCCTCGTTTAAACATGCCCAAACTGGAAATCGAAGGTTCATCTGCAAGATAGTGT